TTATGATATCTCCCAAGGGTAACATTTAAAGCGTGAAAAGTAACGGCCATAGTACTGAGCCTTGAGGTACTCCGCACTGCACTTGTGATTGATATGATACCTCTTCATTCACTGCTACAAATTTATTGAGGTCAGATAAGTACGATTTGAACCATGCTAATGCACTTCCACTAATCCCAACAAAGTTTTCTAGTCTATTCAAAAGAATGTTGTGGTCAATCATGTCGAACGCAGCGCTAAGATCCAGTAGAAGGTTTTGGGGACATATCTCTCACGGGTTGCTACGGTGCAGGAACACGGAGCGAGGAACGAGGAGACCAGGAGTACAAAACCAAGGACTTTATTTATATCACGGGGAATCACACGTAGCACATGGAGTAAACAAAATGATACTGGACAAACCAACAGGGAACAGAACACTCTTTAAATACACTGAACAGGCTGATGGGATGACAAGACACACCTGGGATAAATGGAAACCACATAGGAAACACCTGGGACAAATTAAATGAACAATCAGGGAGCAGGCACAGGAAGACCAAATGGGGGCATGGAAACAAACATGTGACAATATCCTAATGACAATGATGAACTAATAATAGTCAGAAGAGGATCGATGACTTCTGGAAGCACCTCTTTTAGGAGCTTAGATGGAATAGGGTCAGAACATGTAATACAGTACATGTTGTTGGTTTAGATGATTTAACAAGTTTAAACAATTCTTCCTCTCCTATAGTAGAGAATGAGTGGAATTGTTCATCAGGGGATCTATATCTGATGCGATACTGTAGCTGATGGCTGCATGGGTAAAAAAACACCAGACGCCCTAAAACTGAGGCATGGATCAAGACGAAGAGTTTTGAACAGATAAAACATCTAAACAGAAGCCGCATATGAAGAGAAATCAACAAAAACCAACTGAATAAAATAACAAGAGCAGAAAATGTGAAAAACACACAGGATGACTTCACAATCTGGATGAACAGAAGGAGTTTCATGTAATGATGTAAAATACTGCTGGTTCATTCAAAGCGTAAAGACAAATGAATAAAATAAGCATTAAACTGATGCAAAAACAAATGTCCAGAAAATCATCTAATCAAAGAAGAGATTCTTAACTAAAACTGCAGAAAATGTCTTCTGGCTTTATTCTGTAAGATCTCCTGCTGTCGCCTGATGAAAGCTGGACTGATGTGAGAATCGCTGAGATTCTGAAGTCATTTCTCACAGATGTGAAGATCTCCTGCTGCTCTCATGAATCTTCTGCTGTGTGTTCATGTCACTCTCTAAATCTGCTCATTCTCACTTTCTGATCTTCCTCTTTCTTTCCTAAAAGCATCACAT